CATCACCTTGTCATGGGGGTCTTCTTTATATCCAATCACTAATGTGAAACTGTCTCCTATCTGACAGATGGCTATACTTAGTCTGTTGTTTGCTGAAAGCTTCTTTCTCAGCTCATGTGTCTAGAAAATCCTGGCTCTTGTATCACTTCTGGCATCTCTCACTTGCATTTTTCCTGCTATTCTATTTTCTATTAATCTGAGTCAATTTAGCAAATGAGAAAATGAGGACCACACAGCACATACTTTGATTACTCATTTTCTCTTAAACATTTGCCCATATTACTGAAAACTAATTCTCATTCAGCACTACTGGTTTTAGCCTACAAAAGCGTAAAAAGAATCTGAGGTTATAAGACTAGTCCAGATGGGGATAATCCCTCCCTGCAGTCAGCAGGCAAGAGGGGGTATTTTTAGGGAGAGGTTCATGTGGAGGTATCTGTTCCTCTCTATTGTTGTCCTGTTGTCTCTCTCAGCAGCTATAAAGGGACCTCACTGTGATTATTTCAGATGTAGACATCTGCACTATAGATGTCTATGTTCATTCAGAATCTCACCTCTTGTTTCTAAATAGTACAACCCTTTGCTTATTCATACTTTAATAGAATAGAATATAATAGATTCTTTATTGCCCTTTCATATTTCTTTGGCAATAGGTGTGATTTCTGGGTTTGCTGATAAACTGTTTCCATGAGATAGTGTGTTCTTCTGCAGCATGCAGTTAGCTGTGGAGCAACTTATCTACATCCCAAGATGCAGGTGAGAAAGGTTTGACAAAGCCAGGCTGTGTGATTTATAGCTGGTTTATACCTAATTGTAATGGTCAGTTTGACATTAGAGCTGCTCAGGAACATGGCTACTGAGAGCTGATGGGTGGCAACCAGTATCTTGGTAATAGTGTGGAAGGAGTATAAACTGGCCTCATGGTCAGGCTTCGTGAACGAAGATTTGGGAAGGGCTCTACCCATGTTTGTTGCAAGTGCGTTGGTGGCTGAAAAGGCCAGTATGAGACAGGTATGTCCGGTTGCAAAAGGCACGGCAGAAGGACTCCTTAGGTGGTATCTTCTGCAAGGCACGATTCTGTGTTGTCTTTTCTCCTCAAGGGTGATCCTGCGTGCTTTCTCAAAAGCATCAGCAGCGTTATAGATGGTGTGTCTCCAGAGCTCCCGATTGGAGGCCAGAGTAGACCAGTTATGTTGATCAATATGGCCAAGGCTGAGATGTTGTTTCAGGGAGTCCTTGTATCTTTTCTTCGGGGCTCCTCTCTTGCGGCAGCCAGTGGCAAGTTCACCATAAAGCAAGATCTTAGGGAGGCGGTGGTCCTTCATCCTTGAGACATGCCCTGCCCAGCACAGCTGTGTTCTCAGCAAAAAAAATGACCTAGAGCACACAGAAATACACAGTCAGTCAGCCAAAACCGTCTTTCTGTACTTACTTCTTTGATGGATGCTGTTTACCTCCACTCCTCTTCTGAGTTCCTGGGCACTTATTGCCTTCAACCCTTCCTACAGCTCACTCAAAATACACCACTGAGATTATCTTCATGAGCATTTATCATACCTCACAGAACCACAGAGTCAGAGAATGGCTGAGGCTGAAGAGAGGTCAACAGGTCCAGCCACCTCCTTGAGCAGGGCCACCTAGAGCTGGTTGCCCAGGACCCTGTTGAGATAGCTTTTGAATTTCTCCATGGTCAGAGAGTCTACAACCTCCCTAAACAACCTGTGTCAGTGCTCAGTCACTCTCACTGCAAAAAACTTTTTCCTGATGTTCAGAGGGAACCTCCTGTGTTTCAATTTTTATCCATTGTCCCTGGTCCTGTCACTGGGCACCACTGAAAGAGCCTGACTCTGTCCTCACTTCAGGTATTTATAGATATTGATAAGATCCCATCTGAGTCTTCTTTTCTCCAGGCTGACAGTCTCAGTTGTCTTGGGCTTTCCTCATAGAGGAGGTGTTCCAGTGTCTTAATTATGTTTTTACCCTTCATTGGACTCTCTCCAGCATGTCTGTGTTTCTTTTGTACCAGGCAGTGCTTATTTCTACTTCTATGTTTTGTTGATAAAAATTCAAACTTTTTCTAGATTACTATATTTAATCTTGTGCAGGGTATTCTATGAAACACATAGTAGAAAAGGTGATAGGAGCTGATTTTCTCTGTCCACCAAAAAAATAATATTGCTTACTAGGTTTTAAAAGTGTCCAATCCTTACAATACTAAGGAAATAAAAACCAGAAATTGCCCTAGTACATGACCTTCTTCTGAACACAGACAAAGAGTACCATGCTGAAATAATCAGGATTTCCACACGCACAGCTCCTGAGAGACCACCAGGAGCAAGGTGGAGGTACATGGGCAATGAATGGAGAGCTGAGCCATGAAGACTGAAAAGGGAGTGAGAAAATCAAAGTACTTGTGCTCTTGCACATCTTCACAGTCTATTCCATGCTTTCCCAAAGCTCTAAGAAATGGTTGGGCAGTCCAATGTCTCAAATGATCACTGCTTTGGGAAGCAGAAGGTATACATGAATACAAGAAACTGAGAATATGAGAAAGACAACACACAACAGTGCCAAATGAAGCTTGCATTCCTAAGTGTGGTATTTTCAAGGGTAAAAATAAGAAATTAATAAATTTTCAAAAGCTTCTAATGTAATTTTTTTTAATAACATCATAAAATAAACTAATTGTGTATAGTATGTTTTTATGTGTTATAGACATAAATTTATTTTCCATGTTCCATATAGATTGTAAATGTGTCGTAGCATCAAAATAATAATTTTATAAAGTCAATATACTGCTTAGTATTATATTTACCTTATTATTAAAAAATTTAGAGGTATATATAAAAGCTGAAAAGCAGTGGCATAATTTTTATTCTCCTCTGCCTGCAAAAATAATTGTATTAAACTGGATGAATAATGAAAGGATGAAACACTCTGTATCATCATCATTTTTCTATAGTCATGTTTTATTAATCAAATTCATCAGTTTTTCTGTTTTCTTTAAAAATATTCTGACATTTTCAAGGATATTAAAATACAGGAGAGGGAGTGAGAAAGCAGGGCACGTGTCAGTAAGAGATCAGGATCTTACCATTGTAGCGTTTTTTGATTTTGATAGTTTACGTACGCTGATCTTAGGAAACTTGTTGAGGCATCCAAGCAAAATTGGCATAATTACATGGTAGCAAAAAATCAATATCTGCTCTGTACTTATTAAGTGCTATATCTAGGCCATGTACTGTGAAATCAAATCCAAGGCAGCTCACTTTTGGCACCCCAGGTCACCAGGTTGTTTTGTTACAAATGGAAAAAATGATACTTCCCAAGTCCAAGAGTGACAGTTCTTGTCCTAAGCTTGAGTTTTCTTATGGGCCTCTGAAGTGTGCATGAGAGTCACTTAGGGTCAAATCCCTGAAAGTGGCCTCATCCACCTCCCCTGTACACTGTGGGCTCACTGTGTTTTGGGATCCTACCTCTGGGACTGGGAAGAGACAGGAATCTCATGACTTGAACAGAGTCTGAAGGGAGGTGAATCCTGCCAGGCTGCACATCTATGTCATTGCTACCAGAGGTGAAGTGGCCAAGGGTGACTGTTTTGGGCTAGCAAAGGAGAAATTAATGTGGGGATCTTCTTTTGCAGTCTTAACCAGGTCCCAGACTTTTTTTTTCTGACTCCTGCTCCTTTTCATTCACATGCAGCCAAGGGCAGGTCTAAGTGTCCCTGGCTACCGTGCTGTGACCCTGTCTGAGCAAACACACCTGGTTTGACAGATGTGATTGCACAGTCCTTGTGAGGGAAAACATCTCCTCTGGATTTTGACACCCCTTTGGAAAAGTAAAATTAAACTTCTGGTTTAAAAAGGAAAGCAGGCTGTGCTTCCATCACATGCTGTGCTCTTTTGGTGCCATCCACCAAAGGCTCATTCAACTTCCCATCATCTCAGTTTGCGGATGTTGTACATACCTATACGAAGCACTGACAAGAATAAGGAAGTCGAGGGTGGGAAAAGCATCATCACCTCTTAATGGTTAAGAAACAGAGGGAGCAGAGCAAATGTTGGAAGAGAAAGTTAAAAGAGGGAAATTCTTTACCTTCTGATAGTTCCAAGTTTGGCACTACTCCTTGCTATAAAATTCTGAGGCTCAAGATACTTTTCTAAAATATATTTTCCTCTTTGCCTATTGAATAGAGAAACAGCTTCTGTCAGATGCTGCAAGTCTGACCAAAGGCCCTGGAGAGCATTGGCTAACTCTATTTTAAGAGAGTCTCAACTCCAGTGGTCCAAATTCACCTCTCCTTTTGTTGTGACTTCCTCTAAGATCGTGCCCTGAGGTTCAGTATCACCTTTCTGGAAAACCTACCTTCCATGCCTCCCAATGGCATCCTTGAGTGATCCTTGAGAATCACTGTGGGCATCCCAGCATGTCTGACTTTGGTTAAGCTTGTTGCAAAGCAAAGCATACTGTTTTTTGTTGAGCTAAAATGACAGCTGAAAAAAAAGGACATATAAACTATAAATTACTGACACATTTGTTGAGCTCACCAGGAATCCTGTTCAACAGAAGGTGCTGGGAAACACAAGGCTTGAGTTTACTTATCCTTTGTTTCAGATCAGGTCCTTTATGTTTCTTCATGTAGTTTGACCCACCTTTCCAGACATCCAGCAATAGGTAAAATGATTATGACAGTTACTCTGAGAAGGCAAACATTCCCATGGCCAAATATCTGCATAGCCAGCAGCAGAAATTGATATTAAGCTTCTACCACAATGACAGCAAGGAGCACATCGATATTCATATAGCCCTTCAGTGATGGTGGATACCCCTATGGTCACAGCATCTGCTGCTTGTTGGCTGTTGAACTCCCAGAGGAGCTCCTCATGGGCACTGTGAGCAGGTCAGCAAGTGCTGTGTCACTGCCTGGGTAGTAACTATTGTTCCCATGGTGTTTGTCAATGGACTGGTGGGGAAAAGCAAGCTGCCTTGGCAGGGTATAAATTCCCCTGTCCATATACCAGCTCTCCTTCAGCAGATGCAGAGCACAAGACATGAAGTTCCCTATGCCAGCTACATTCGCCCTGCTCCTCCTCTGCACCCCAGGCACAGGGGAGCGTGAATACACCTCTGTGCTTGCTGTGCCCAATGGAGGCCACTGGGGCAAGTGGGGCAGTCGGCAGTTTTGCCGCTATAGCTATGCCAATGGATTTGCACTGAAGGTAAAATTCTCTCCATTTCCTACCATCTCCTGTTCCTGCACCCTGGTCTAAAGCTCTCCAGCTCCCAGTACAGTCTTCTCCAGAGTCTAAGGACTTTCTGCAGAGTTTTTCTTCTTCTTGAGTATGGTAATATGTACATAAAACTGTGAGTCTTCTGGAACATATTGCCACTGTAGGTAGACCAGAAAGGAAAAATACATTTTTTTTTTTCTTCTTAGGCCAAGAGTTCTCCCATTAGATACAGTAAAAACAGAGTTACTGCCAGAATTCTTTTGCTGTCAGATAGGATAGAGGTGTGCTGGCAGTTGCATAGTCTGCATGTGGCGGATGTTGCTGAGAGAAGTCACGTCAGTGCTAAAATCTGCTGCTGGATTCAGGGAAAGAGACATCCTCCACCAGTGTCTCTCCTGGAGCTCTGAGACTCTGCCTTACCCATTGGGTCAGAAATAGAAACACAAAGAGCATGTTACAAGGGTTGTATAGGTTTCTAGTAACAGGCATCTTTTCCATGTACTTCCCAAAACATTTTCTCTTTCTCATTACAGAAGGGAGTGGGGACTGTTTATGACAGGCATGTCAAGGACTTTTCCTGGCTCTTCTCCCTCTTACCTTTATCTCTGCCTCTGTGTGACTTGTACTGCAGGTGGAGCCTGCCCAGTTTGGAAGAGATGACACCGCTCTGAATGGCATACGCCTGCATTGTCAAGATGATTCAATAACTGAGTCCTTGGTGGGGGAGTAAGTAACACTGTGTTTTCTCTCCTGTTTGTCATGCACCAGCTCACCAAACACCCATGGGTGTTACCATTTACAGGAGTCTCGTCTCTGACTTGCTTTGTATGTACAGTGCTGTAACATAGTGAATTAAAACAGGTGGTTGGGGCTTGTGTTCATTAATCTTTATGGTAATTAAACACAGTTACCTCACATTACTACTTTTTGTTTGCTCTTGAAATTTCTGCAGAGCACTGTAAACACCTGAAATATGGTCCCAGGCATAGAGTATTTCTTTGGAAATCTGCAACGTATGGGGCAATATGAGAAAAGGGGTTTCTAACCACACATTTTGAAACTGCTTAGGTGGCCCTGCTGCAGGGAACAGTACTGCACCTCTGGATAGCAGAGTGTCTGCCCTCCCCGGTGTCTGGTGTGCACTTGTTACATGTGTCAGGGATGCATCATAAAACATGTGCTCAGGCTGCCCTTGAAGTTTCCACCAGAACTGTAACTGTCCCGGTGTTTTTCTGATGAGATATCAATGAAGAAAAAATACACCCTTGGAAGACAAGGAAAAAAAAGGAGAAAATAAAGGCCCCAAACTGCAGCAGGATGCTGTGCTGGTCATGGCTGTGAGCAAGGAATTGTTAAGCTTCAGAGTAGCATTACAAGGAGAAGGAGCCCTTTTCAGCAGTTTGCAGAGCCCAGACATTCTTCCATTTGTTTTTTGTCAGGTGGGGTACCTGGACCATCTTCCAAGTTTGCCCTGGAGGCTACTTGACCTCCTTTTCACTGAGAACAGAGAAATCCCAAGGAGGAGGTGATGACACAGCAGCCAACAACATTCAGTTCAGATGCTCAGATGAAACTGTGCTAGTAGGTGATGGACTGTCGTGGGGAAGCTTTGGCCCATGGAGCACAAGCTGCAAGATATGTGGTCTCCAGACCAAGGTAGAGCCACCACAGGGGCTTAAGGATGACACAGCACTCAACAATGTGAAGTTCTTCTGCTGTAAATGAGCACTTACTCCATGTTCATCACTGCCTACACATTGCATATCCCACAGCAAATGAAGTATCAGTAAAGCTTTGCTCTAGCTTCCTACTGGGACATGTCTGTGATGTTTTGACTGCTTGCATCTTGCCATACTGGCCCATGTCTTAGATAATAATGTGTTTATGCTGTGCATTCATCTAAGTGTGGTACTGTATCATCTAAGTGGGCTGTATCTCCCCAGAGGGAGTGTGCTCTGCTGGCCCACCTAGCTGTTAGAGTAAACCATTTTCATAGGACTTGGGTTTTTTTGTTTGTTGCCTCTGGGCGTCATACTCTAAATAGAATGGGGAGAATCCAAATCAAAAATAAACTCTATGTCAATAATCCATTTTATTTATGCTCCAGTTTGCTGGGTAAGCTGGAAATTATTATCTTGTCCTGATGTGCTAGACGTAAAGAATGTACTCTTCATTTGGGGAAAAATCATGCCTGGAGATCATTACTGTGCATTGATGTCTGAGCCACGTGGAACAGCACAGAGCTGATGGTGGATGTTCCTTCTGCCAGTTCACATCCTCTCTCTCCTCAGCTCATACATAGCAGCCATCACCACTCTATCTCTTCATCCATGTAAATATTTCTTCCCATCGTTTACCTCAAAAAGTACTCAAATAATAACTATATTTTCTTTTATGAGAAATACTATATAACAGGCAAAGCAAGAACAAATTTGATAAATACTTTGGTTAAAAGAGTTTTGATAAAAATATCAGGGGTTTGCTTTTGAGTAGATCACTGCTCTCTCTATCCTGTGTACTGTCTCCGGTGGCAATAATCCATAGCTAATTCTTTCTGCAATAAAAGGTTTCTCTGCATCAGGGAAGTGATGAGTAGGAATTTTATTGGCAAAGCCAACAGCAATCATTGGATGTTTGGTGCTTGGTAATGTTGTCTAGTGCTGGCCCTTGGAGCACACAGTAATTTCTCATAATGCTTGTGTCATTTTGCCTTCCAGTCCCCATTTTGACCTCACAGGAATTTTCTTAGTGGTGGGTGATGAGTGGAGAAGCCAACCATATGGAACTCAGGACTGATTGCACCTACTGCAACCAAGTGGAGATAAAACATTTCTCTTGACTCTGTCTGTACTGCATAGGGTGTTGCTTCCCGTCTTTTGCCTCCTGAGGCACAGCTGGGATAAACTGATGCATCTCTAATGACATTATCCAAAGTTACTTAAAGTGAAGCACTTACCAAAGCCTCAGTAGTGCAAGAAGGTATCTTAGAAAGATTTCTGGATTTGAATGATTTTATTTTAAAAAAATTAATACGAAATTTTCCAGTCAGACCTTCTGCTTCAACTTTCCACAGGTCTGATTTGTTTCATCTCAGGATCTGATTTATTTCTTAACATTTTAAGTTGGTTTTCTATAATTTGATATTTCTAAGTGAGCCTTTAACTGCTTTCTGTCCTCCTCTTGACTGCAGACACTTTAAGTGTGCAACTGCTTTATCAAAGAAAAGCTTGTTTTGAAAAACCAACACAGTCAGCACTTGAAATACAAGGGATTATTAACTTCAAGGGAGCATTTTGTAACTTCCATCTCAATTTAGAAGTTTCTGAAAAAACTCTTATTTGTCATATATCCAGCTGTCTGTAAACATAGAAATCCCTCAAATCCCTCAGCTCTAGCATTTAGTTGCAAGAAAAAAAGCCAACAACAAAAAAACCCTCAAACCACAAAAAACAAAACCCCAACAAAAAAACCAACAACACCAAAACACCCTGCCCAACAAAATAAAAGAAAAAAGTTGGAACCTTTTTCTAACAAGTTGAACTAAACTAAATTAAATCTAAATTCTGATGCTATCGGAGTTAGCTGGGGTTAACAGTGACCACACAGAAACTTACTTTCCAAAATGACCCTTTTCAAACCTCACACATGGAGATATCTTAATTTGAATCTAGTTGCTTGGCTTCCATTTTCTTATGAAATAGGAATAATTTAATCTTGCAAACTGACATCCAGTATAATTAGTGAGATGATATTTGAGGGCATAGAAAAAAAATAGCTGTACTGATGTAAACAAAGCAGGCTTCATTTGATGAAAGTGAACAGGAATCATGGTAACATGATTATCTGGATTATCTGCATTATCTTCCAAAACCTGGGGAATCCCTTTGCTCAGGCAGAGGCAGGTAGCTGCATGCACTCCACAGAAGTCTTGGAGGGCCAACTACTGGTCACCTTCCTCCAGAATATGTAGGACAAAACTCATCAATTATTTTATACTACAATACTCTATGATCATGTCACCAGCAAATGTGGCAACATGACATTTCAAGTGCTTTTTTTCCTCACTGTGTGAGTAAGTTGTATCTCTTGGAAAGATATGCTGTGTGAATCCAAGTTGTGCGTGGAGCCAGTTATGTGTGGGAAAAGAAGTCTGTTAGTTTCTCAGTTCTCCAGGTGGAGCTAATTCTTGGAATGATCATTACCACTGAGCTAAAGTGCTTAAAAGAAGGAATTATTTTCTTTTTGAGTGATTTGTTCAAGGAGCAGTGCCTGTTTTCTTATGTGTGTGTATATGTGTGTATATGTAAACAATTGAAAAACTTGAACTTCGTATTGCACATTTCTTCTCCAGAGGGTAGGCCAGGCTGGAAGACTCTGAACATCTGATACTTCTCTGCAAATGAATGACTCAGTTAAATTTTGAGGTTTCACTTGCAAAGAATTATTCACAGCACCACCAAAACTGAGCTGTTATGCTTCTGTGTAGTACCAGGTGTAACATAGCTTCCTACCAGTGCGTGAATGGACACTCCAAATGAGAACTGTTCCAAGAGATGTTTGGAAGACAGAATACCACCTCCTCTTAACGTACTTTCTTCTGTACTAATCGGCAACTTCAAAATCAAATGGGTATGTTTTTGTGATCTGAATATTGATGAAAAATTTCCAGATTGGTCTCCACTGAATAGTCCACTCACAAAACAGGAGTCATACACAGAAAAGATGGGGTGGGACCTGAAAGCAGGTGTCAGCCACTTGCTTCATTCAGAGTGGAGGAATCAGAATTTTTCAACAGAAATAAAGGTATAAAAACATTACCAAAGTGTACTGTAACTGGAATCTGTGAGTAGCTACATCTTCATCACTTCAAAAAGCCACTGTGTGTCTCTGGCACATCTAGGAGTTGGGAACATGTTACCAAAGAAACAAACACACAGCTCCTATGCAATATTAATGGGACTAGTGCCAAGACCAAGGACCAAGCAAGAATTATCCCTGAATCTACTGTTAATGTGGCAATTTTGGATCTGAAGTATGAGTAGGCTTGGGGAAGGCAAAGAGGAGTTTTCCACCAAGCTATGCATATGTGGCACAGTTCCCAGGGAGGCTGGCAGAAGCAGCAAGTCTGGAGCTTTCCAGAAGTGATTTTTTTAAAGCCAATCCTATTGAATAAGCCTGAATCAGACCCAGAACAGACATGCTGTTAGTTGTGCTCCAGTGAACCTAACTTTGAGTCTGCTTCTAGAAAGCTGACCTTAGAAATCTTAGCCTTTATGGCTTCATTGTTCCTGTTGCAAGGAAAATAGATATCCCATCCATCACAGGTGTTCTGAAGCTTAAGTTATTAGTTTTTGTGAGATGTAGAGAAAACATCTGAAGATACCTTAGCTACATACAATTTTTAATACTATATATGAAGAAGATTTGCACCACGCAGCTCATGCTCAGTGTCATAGTTAGCAAGTGTTGCAACCCCATAAAGCCAGCCCTAATTAACTAGTGTGATTGCCAGTGAGGAAACAGCTGAAAACATCCATTCTAGAATTTTCTGAGTCTAATTATTTGGAAATCTTGTACAGAACGTGAGCAGCAGAGAACATTAACCTATGGGTCATGAACAGAAAAACAGCAGGGCTTGAGAGAGGTGATTAATGAAGGATTGAATTCTGACTTCCATTCTCCCTCACAACACTGAACCTGTGGACATGCCTTTGTCCCACAGGACTGAATATCTATGGTATTGTGTTTGAATACTAACATTTTGTATGAGAAGTTGTTGCACGGTTTGTACCTGCCTGCTTTGTCTTCTTCTCCGTAGAAAGGGAGCTTACCCAAGGCAATCCAAGCTCCTGCAAATAATGTTGGAAACTGTTGTCCTAGCAGGAATGAGGTAGAAACTACCTCCTAGTCTCAGTGAAAGCTGGGGGAAAGGAATGAGCTGTTGGGCAATTCAGAAGCACAATTAGTAGAAAGGTGGCAACACCACATGTATAGAAACCATATTTCTCTTGGAATCCTTCTTAGGGAATTTTGGTTTTGGTGCATGTTTCCTTAGCTTTCCATATCCCACCAGAGCAAAACTTGGAAGATGTCAGTCACCTCATAAACCCTTAAAACACAGACTGACTCTGTATATCTTGATGTCTTCTGCAACAGGTCATGTAGCTGGGTGACATTTGACTGCACCAGCAACTGGGCCTCTCCAGCCAAGAGTAACAACTATCCCTTTTTGATCACTCGAAACCGCTTCAACAGCAGTGGTGCGGTAGTGGTAGTTTGGTGCACTTCTTAATGAACATAAACTATCAAAATGGACATCAATGGCATCTTTAGTGCCTGTGTAGCAAAGAAAAAAGTGAAGGTGCTGCAAGAACACACACACGAGTTTATTAACTCAGACTGTGGAAAAGGATGTTTTCAGAGGTACCGTGACAGCACGAGAAATCAGGTTACTGCTTGAGTCTTTTCAGGATCAGGCCCTCAACAGATCTGAGATAGCCCCTTTGTGTTGCTGCTGTTCTCTTTTTCAGGGGGAGCATTCTACAGCTGTTTGTGAATGACTTAGAAATTCATGGACAAAAATGTACATGACTGACTTCGTTTAAATCCAGAAAGGGCCACTCATACCCTGAAAAACAATGTATCTCCATGCAATCAAAAATAATTTAACCAATTGCACTTTTTCAACAGTAAGAGCAGATTAAAAAATCAATCCCCCAATCCAA